CGAATGAATGATTTTGTCGATACGTATTGGAAATTTAGAAATATTTAAGTATATTGTTGAGGCCTTGGTTGGTTGTTGCTCGATTCGTGACTCCAATGCCGCAGTTCTATTCCAAGCGAGAGTAAACCTGCCCAAAATTCCGAGTAGCACGAGCGACTCACTTGTAGTTTTATCTAAGAGGCTCCCAGACATATTTGCCTAGTGCGACAAACGGACAGAGCGAATCTAACTAGTAATAATAGGTGCTCTTTAAAAAATATTCTATTTAATCCACAAGCATCTCGTTCTGAAATATAAGCTTGAGAAGGATGACAGTATTTGCTTTAATTATTCAGATAAGTCGTTGTATAAGTTATATGATAACAAATTTGGTAATTTGGCGAATAGCCGACAGTAATTTCAAAAGGAATCGGACTAAATCAATTTTGAAAAAACGCTGCATCTCAGTAGATTGCTGTTGAAATCCTGTGCATGAAAAGCGATTTAGTCGCCATTAAGATGAAAATCTCCAGAAGGTTTACATCTATACCATATGGACAGGTGAGGACCACTTACTAGATGGTAGTTGAATAATTCTTAGATTAGATTAAGCATGTTGCTTTGCAATCTTGAATCAATAGAAGTAATTCTTCACGCAGCTGAGAACCTTTTAGTTTCCATATGAGCAATATTATGCTTGTTTGAATTGACGATGGCAAATTCATAGTAAAAATGCGATAAAGTAGCATCATCCTATCAAGAGGGAACTTTAATATTGAGCGACTATCAACTATCAAGTAAATGTTCTTACAAACGTCCACCAAAGGCATATCGGCCAACGTCTATAATGAGTTCTCCATACGTTTTGTGTGGTACTCTAATGATTATATGAATTTGAATTAATGATGAGTTTCTGTGAGCACTGGCACGATGCTGATTTCTGCCAGTGTTCATAAAAAGCTGTATGTGTTCCGCCAGTGTTCACTAAGAAGCTACATATCTAAGGCCTAATTTTATTGCGATATTTTAAACCATCCATTGCTTACTAATAATAAAACTAAATTGGCGACATTTATATCTTCAAAATTTGCGTTTCAAGATTATTGATGCAAAGGTACCAGAATTTGATTTTAGAATTTTAGATTTCAGAATAAAAAATAATTTCAAGAAAAATTGCAAAATCTAAGGCAATTTATACATAAATATTTATTTTGTTTTCTAATGCTTGTATGCTTTTTTAAAAATTTATTTGGGACATTTTATAGGAATATTATACGACTTTGGATTATTCTAGCGATTCACCTGCACTTCTATCGCAAACAGGCTACCTGGCAGATTTGCCTAGTACGACAAGCCGGCAAAGTGAATCTAACCAGTAATACTGGATGGATCTTCTAAAAAAAATTATCCTACTTAATCCACAAGCATCTCGTTCAATATTCTTTTTCCAGAAAATTCTGAAAACAGACCTATGTTCAGTTGCCTTTAGAAGTACTTAAATGATGCAAAGAAATATGAGTTTGAGAAGAGTGAAAGCAAATTCTTTTAATTATTCTTTTAAATAGGTCGCTGTATAAGTATTAAAACAAATTTGGCAAAAGCCGTTAGTAATTTTCGAAGAATTGAATTTTTATTATAAAAGGCTGATAACGATAAGCCAGCGAATGTCTTTATTGTTTTAATATTAAAAATATAAAATATATGAATATTAAAAATCAATAAGAAAATTAGTAACTAAAATAAAAATGTGCTTGCATATTGCTGTCGATAATATTAGAACAATATTTATTTGAAGCAAACTTCTATGTAATTCGTGAAATACGTGATTCCATATTAATACATCCTCCACCCATCGGAACAAATCCATCGGAGCATCCGCAAAAATATATGCAAGAACTTCTCATAAGGTTGAAACATAGGGGTTTTGGTACCATACCTTCAGCGCATATTATCGTAGGAGCAGCCGCACCAAATTCAAAACGATTTATTACCTGAAAATCTTATTGGTCCAATAGGAATATTTATTGCCTAATTTACCACAGCGATTCATTTATTATATTAAATATAATAAAAAATATAAAATACTCACACTGCAGAACAATAAGTAAAAGGACAATGAAAAAAATAAGCCCATCGGGAGACAGTGCTGTAATTATTTGCATTTTTCGTCACCGTATTCGTTTATATATCCATGAAGGATGGGGGGAGGGGAAAAGTATGGTCATCGATGGAGATTATATAGAAATTTATGGGAAAATTATCAGTCAATGTCATTTATTCAATCTT